CTCCCTCCCCTACGTTCTCATCTCCCACCCCTCGTGTTCTCCTCTTCTTCTCCCCCCGTGTTTTCCTCTTATTCCCCCGCCTCCCTGTGTTCTCCTCTTCTTCTCACCCCTGTAATCTTCTCTTCTTCTCCCCCCTCCCTGTAATCTTCTCCCCCCCTTCCCTCCCTGTAATCGCTTCTTCTCCCCCGTAATCTTCTCTTCTTCTCCCCCCTAATCATCTCCCCCCTCCTTCCCTCCCATCATCTTTTTTTTACGGTTCCTAAATCTATAGCCTTTTCACAGCACAGTTTGAACAGAATGAACGCAAGCAGCCTGGTAGATAGAGTTCCAGTGACGTGACTGACAGCTCTGGGGCTATCACATTTACCAAATCTCTGCAGATTTCAGCCACTAACAGAGCTGAGACTAGAAGTCGGGTACTGTTTGCACCATCACATCTGAATGCTTACAATGAGCCTCTAATTACTCTAAGAAAGCTTTCAGGATTTTCTGATCTTGCAGAACCTCTAATTCCTCTTTGAGATATGTATATTTCACCCTCACATGTCCTGATGTCACAGTGGTGAAATTTAATAGAACTTAAACTGCTGACTATAAGGATGTACTATTCCCAAGGGCTACTAAAGCGGTTAAAGACCTCATATCCTTACCCGTCTACACAGGGAAAGTCATGAAATATATGGGAAAACCAATAACTAGAATGAAAAGTTCTATTAGTCACCAGGGGAAGAAAAATAGGTATATTCGCTCAATTAAGTGGAGAGAAATAATTACACAGATGTGCCTACAGAACAGATCTAACAGTATCAATCACATTGACTAAAATGCTCCACGCTGGAGCCAGATAAATCAAGAACAATCTTTTATTGTTTTAATTTGTATCTCGTCGATGTTTCGTTAGCCAACGAGAAATTAAGTAAATTGGTGAGGATATAAAAAGTGACATGCAATCTATGAAAATGAATGTCTGGCTGCAGACTGTCAATCACGCTTTATTTATTTGACCTAGATTGGGTTTGGTTTACAGTACATTGTAAATGTGTATTAAGGAGAACTGAGCTCAGTTATGATTACAAGTGTCTAAATTGATCATTTTATCGGTTACAGGATTTTGTTTTATAGTTACTCTTTTTCCCCCCATCTTTAACCCCTTAAAAGACACATGACGGAAATATTCAGTCATAATTACCTTTTATTTCTGAAGTTGTGTCCTTAAGGGGTTAAACTTAGGAGAAACATCTGTCGGGCGTAGGGATAGTCAATGAGGAATAATTAAAGGGCTTGGTAATAACAGAAGATGATTATTATTATTATTGAGATGTTTCAATAGGAGTATCAAAAGTTTAACAAAGTTAGTGCCAGCGTTCCGAATGTCTATTCCTCAGCAATATATTAACACTCTGTTACAGTGATGCTTTTGAATAATGGAAGGAGTGGGTATAAATAGTTTTGTGGGAAAGACTGTAGTGATATCCTGTAGGACCTTAAACCATGAAATAAACATCTCTGGGACAAAGGCAGACATTGATCGCACCCCATTTTGGGTATGTATCATAAACTATCTGAAAAAACAGTTTTTACCCAAGTACACTGATGTACTAATGTATCATTTAATTTTTTTCAATTAAAGGGACACTCCACTTCCCAAATACAAAATAAATAAAAATCACTGTTTAGTAAGTATACCCAAAATGAAAACTTGCAAGCATCTTTTAATTGTATATATACAGCTTGCAAAAGCAGCAGATTTCTTGTCTGAAGCATTTGGAAGTCCTCCCCTTCCAAGCCCGCCCAGACTTTCTGTGACTGTTCAATCACAGACTTCACAATGCAGCTCAGTAAGAAGTCTTTGCAAAGCAGGTGATCTGGGCAATTGCTGCCCCTTGAGGAAGGAACAGGATCTGTTACCTGCTATAAAAACCAGGGGGTGTAACAAGACTAATTTATAAAAGTGTCAATATCTATAGAAATCTGCACTATTTCCAAAAAAAAAAGAGAGGACACACTCTTCACACATAAAGCTTTGAAGAAAGCTAAAGTACTTTAGAGGTCTGGAGTGCCCCTTTAAATAATGTATTTAGAGAAAAAAAGATGAGCTAAAGTAGAAGTCATGATGCTTTGTGAACAAGTCAGATAATTAATCATTGTTTTTAATCCTGGAAGAAAATGTAAGTGATTAAGATTATATGTGTGCCTTCTTCTGAAGATGATAAAAGAACAGAAGACATGTCCCAACAGTGATCAATCTTGTATGACAAGAACCAATCACTTATCTAGAAATTACACCATGCATTAAATAAAACATTGAACATCACAAATAACTTGTATTCTATTCTGTTTTCTTTTAAATATATATATATATATTTAAGATTTAGCAAACATTGGAATCCAGTTGAGTCCAGGCACAACCAGGGCACGCACTGCATTAGTGCTGGAGAGAAAGTATCATTGTTTCTTTTTCATCTTCTCTTACTATTCTCTGTCTATACTGACAAGTGCAAAAGGCTGTTTGTTTTTTAAAAAACAGAAAAAGTCAGAATGTAGAACAATGATTGACAGGGAGACAGGATGGAGGTGCTCAGTTTCAGGATAAAAACAAATATTGCAATGTGGATTTCTACATTATATTTTATTTACCAGACCACAAAAAAAAACCCCATATATTTGTTGAATACAATAAATGAAAAAACATTATATTAAAAAAACCTGGAATGTGTAGGTTTATTATGATGTGTAGGTGGTCCAGAAATTAGATTATATCCTTCACAGTAGGCTCATGGCTTTGCTTCAAGAATCCAGAAGTCTTTATTGAAATGCACAAATCCCAATATTTTTGCTTAGTGTTTTTAGTTTTTCAGATATGCATTTCAATTATTATCCTCAATGAAATCATACTTATTACGAGTCATTTGTTTTTCGATATGTGGTTTGCAGAATTTTAATAAATTCACCAAACAATGTTATTGTTGCTACATCTGGAGAGCACACTAGGATATACCTTTCCACTTATAACCCATTTCCACTCACACAGAATTCAAGAAATTTGCCGTCGTTAGATATCTGCTTGTGGCTTCTAGTAAATATTGAATGGAATTATTCCAAGGAGGCTTTTTACTATGTAATTTAAAACTTCACTGTACCTTTAAATGCCAAGTCTGACATCTGCAATATTCATCATTTCTACACAAATGTGAGTGTGTGTGTGTGAGTGTGTGTGTGTGTGTGTATTTCCATGTTAATGGTACTCAATCAGTAAACACAGTGCTGATCTGACCTGAGTAACTGCATACCATTCATAGTAATTATTTTTTTCACGCTTCATTTATGTTTTCATGATGAAAGTCTATCCAGAAAATCTCTTGAAATCCACTAGTGTTACAATATACAGGAGGTTTATTTGTAAAAGTCTGTATTATACTTGCATGCCTAAGCTTCAAATATTAATAACCACTAACACACAACAGTCAACATGCTTTGTGAATAAAAGTCACTGCTATAAGAATTTGTATTAATGAATAATTCATTCATTTTCCAGAGAGGCATACATGGGTGGCTCTGACTAAGGATGTCCATCCTGATTCATGATTACAGTGAAAAAGAATTTGGCAGTCTTGCTCATAGAAACGCTTTGTAAAGATCCTTTTAAGGTTGAAACGTTGCCAGCATAGGCATGCGCAGCCTATTACATTAGGGTGCGCACCCTAACACACAAACACACACCACACGCCGCATGTATGTGTGTGTATATATTTATATATATACACACATACACACATACAAATACACTCTTGTATACATACATACACAGACCCGCAGGATAACAGACTGTGTTTCAATATGTTCGATAAATCTTGGTTAATATTTAAACAGACTGACTTGAATTAACGGACGGACGTATCACTCTGGACATCCACAATGAGGCAAGTATATCAAGAGTTCATAACCTATGAAGACAAACATAACCTATATTATACCTATAAAGTACATAATGATAATATATATATAAAAACTGTCACATAGACATTTCACCCACATATTCTGCAATCCCTTAACATATATATTATCCCATTTGTTTTTTACATGTCTCCATGTTTTGTATATGTATGTATATAGCATATAATATATATCTTTCCAATTTACCTTTGCTTTGCCCATACAATACCACCCTTATATTGCAACCATAGACACACACATTAATACATGCACACATATACACACCTTTACATGCACACATATATACGATACAAGACACATTGACACTCTCATACATGCACATGCACACATAAACACATTGTTGCACAGAGACACACACTGACAAATACAAACATGCAATCACAATGTGTATCTGGCTGTGTTAATTTGTGATTGTATCTGGCATTGTCTACCTGTGTATGTGCCTGAGACGGTGTGTCTGACAGTGAGTATCCTTGTTTGTGAATGTATGTCTCTGTGAGCATGTGAATGTTTGTTTATGGGACTGTATGTGTATGGGGTAACTGACTGCTCTGTCTTGTGTGTTTAGGGGGGAGGGAGTTGCCTGTGACCATGTTTGTGTGTATGACGAATGTATTCAGGGTGTGACAGGGTGACTGTAACCGCAAACGGGTAACTGTGGCAGGGTGAGGGGATTCATGAGACAGGGTTGGGGGGTTAGTGTGACATGGTTGAGGAAGGGAGTGTGACAAGGTGAGGGGGAGTAAGTGTGACAGGATTAGAGGCGTTAATGTGACAGGGTGAGTGTGGCAGGGTTGGGGTGAGGATGGCACGGTTGGAGGAGGTCTGCCCTATGACGACTTAAGCGGCCGCAAGGCCTTAGCCAGCCCCCTAAATTGCCTAATTATAGAGCCACCCCATGCGCACAACTATGATTGCCAGATCTTTTGTGTTGGCTGCAATAAAATTCTCAAAAAATGGATAACAGCAACCGGATTTCAAAATAAAACGTTAATCTTCTTTATTCTCAAACGTATAGGTATTAAAATTAATTCAGCAACATGCAAAATGCTAAGTGACAGATAACAGCAGTTTGCGCGTTTTGTATCCATGTACAAACAAGGATGCGAAATGCGTAAACTGCTGTTATCTGTCACTTTGTCACTTTGAATGGCGCATGTTGCTGAATTAATTTTAATATCCATACATGGAAAAATAAAGAAGATTAATTTTTTTATTTTGGAATCCGGTTGCTATGATCCCTTTTTACAAAATTGGCATTGACAAAGAGGAGACCCAAAATGTTTGTATATTTTTAGTCCTTAAATTAAATTGTATGAGGCACTCCCTGTGCATATTTGGTATCTTAATTTGATTTGTTGTTTGTACTTATATTTGACCCTGCCCTGAGCAACAGGGTGCAGGGCTAGCAGCACAGAGTTAACAGGCTGTTTAATTTAGATTTTTAGGTACTGCAGAAACCCTTCCTCTATCTCTATGTGTTTTTTTTTTTGTGGGGGGAGGAGGGGATGGGACCTAAAGAGTACATTTACAGAAATGAAGCATTAAAATGGGTTGGAGTAACCATTTAAGCAGGAATAACTATCTGCATGTGCATAGCTTGGCATACAATGAGCCAATGTGGGAATTTATTTCAAAGATATGTGATACTGTTACATCAATTTGTACCACAATGACTCTTTTGTTCATCATGTTAGCATGTTTTTGAAACACCTCTATAAAACAATTTATAAAAAACAAAGAGAAAAAACAAACCATTGTGTGAGTGAATACAAATATGCCAATAAAGTCCTGGGACAATTTATATGTCTTCTTTAGTAAGCACAGAATAGGAAACCCTTTGGCACTAGTCAGCTGCCTAAGGTCATTAAATCGTCAATCTAGCTCAGAGGCGCCCCTGCCAATATAAGTTCTATAGTTTAATAGTAGGTAGGTTGATCTTACCTCATAGTTTATAATACTCACACATTCTGTCAGTGGTTTTGGTGTTTGGAGTGGTCCTTTAAAAATGAGGGACGGAGGCTTGGTTTTATAGATTAAGCCAATATATTCCCCTGTAAAATCAGTCGATAGAATATTTCCGGTGTACATGTCAGGAATAAGTAGAGATACAAATAAGCTCATAGAATATATTCATACTAAGTGACATGTTTGTTACGGGGAAAAACAATATAACACCTCTTAATTATTGAAATCAGTTCATCTATAGGACATTGTTAGTGGAGTATACCGTTTTAAAAATTAGGCCAGAAGACGTTACTGAATCCATTAACTGCAAAACAATATGATTGATTGTAAAATCATTAAAATAATTAATATACATAAATCATTTTAATGATTTTGTTGTATTTTAAGTAATTAATGTATTTTAATAGTAATATGTGTGTTAAACATGTACCCAATTTTACCAAGTCTGACAATAAATCTCTTTGAGGTATATGGAGCACCACTTAAATTGTATATGGACAAATATGTCCTACAAAAGAAACCCCAAACCAATATGTGTTAACTAGGGGAGCACCTTTTATAGAAGGACAAGGCAAAACGGGATTGTAAGAGTTAAATGAATGAGAGCGTATATAATAACGCTCCCACTAGCCGTAATACTATTTTGAAAAAGCCCGGTGTTGCGGGCAAAACGCGTTAAAGCGTGAGCGGCATCCATCTAAGCAGAAGTGAAGGAGAAGCCACTTGCAAAGACCGATCCCTGTCTCCAGCGTTCTCCCAGGACTGGCACCGAATCAATCAGCACACAGATCGAGCGGGAGTTTCCACGAGCAGGACGGTGGGCGGTAACGGCTTCTTATCTTTCATATATGCTTATTTGTGGTATCTTAGACATAAGTACCACCACTTGCAAATGTAAGGGTTCCCATTGGGGGAGAGGGTTTTTTATTTTTATATTTATTTTCCAAATAAATTACAGTTTTACGCGATGAAGTGCTTTGCTGTATCCTTTTAAGGTACAAACAGACACTGTGTTATACAGTGTATATAAAGACGCTGGATCATAGCAGAAAAACAAAACTAACCCTAAGAGACTACTCCCCAAAGACTTTTGGACTCTGCATCAGTCAAAACGGTTATTTGAAATTGCATACCCAATAATTTTATATGCAGTTAATTACTCATAGAAGTGACTTTATCCATTATTATAATATTGCAATATAGAGGTGTCTGTTTTTCATACTTTATATATTGATAACCGATTCTGGGTTTTCAAACTATAGCGCTTTCACTTATTTTAAGATTACTGTTGAATGTTAAAAAAAAAAATGTAAGGAAATTTTTTTATGTGTATAGCAGCTTCTTTTTACTATATTTATCTCGTACTTTTAACATAGTTGCGCCTTCCTAGTGTGTTTATATTTGGAATGAAAAAGAATGGAAAATTGTAGGATAAATGTTCAAACTGGAAACATTTACCATCTCAGCTTTTGTAGCTCTGACCAAAATAAAGTCCATTATTTCATCAACATCAAGTAGAAATGTTCTAGAGTGATTTTTGCTATTCCATTGTCATACCATTGCAATGTTTGACTAAAGTGATCGTTTGAAAAATATCTTTGTTTGTACTTTTTCCAGGTCCATCTGTGATGGTGGAATAATAAAATCATTTTGTAACATTCCTCTCTGTTGTTGCCGAGTTAGTGTATTTATTTTCGTTGAAGTGTTGGATTTGTTAATGACCCCGTAACTCCGCCCACAAGCATCCTGCGAGAGGTAAAGAGTGTGCAACTCCACATTGCTTCGTATTTTTTGTATCTCAGCTGTTTTGGCCAAAAATTTGTAATTACATTCTATATTTCTATGGTTTTATATGTTTAGTGAATAAACCACAGAGTATTTATTTGCAACTTTAACTTTAATTGCTTCACTGCAATATAGCCATCCTCAAATATCTTTTAGATCTTTTTACAAGTTGAAGTAACGGATAATTGCTAAAAAGTTAGGAAACGGACTTGTGAGAAAGCAAAAAGGACACATAAAGGCTGTGAAGTAAACAGAGAAAAATAAATACAATTGAGAGATTACATTTTGTTCACTCAGCATGGAGCAAGCTCAATTTTCTATTTCCTATACCTAAAAACCATGGATGAATTTGTAAGGTACGTTAGTTCCCATACTGATGATATGGGAATAAATACGGTATAAAGTGCACCTATACTCACACTGTGACCAGGCTTTATGGAAGTGAAGATTGTCAAAATTAATTTTCACTTTCCTAGTCCTTTCAGCATGTCCTGGGTTCAACACCACCGCCTTCGTCCCTGCTCTCCGTTATCTTTGCATTTATTCTTGTTGAATCTTTACACATTTATGTAGATGCACAGGCTATTGACATGATCTCTTATGTGATTGTTGTAATCAATAACCTTTGATCGAATGGGTGATTTAAATATTTGCATAGTCCGCATAGCGCTTACCATTCAATAAGATCCAATTACCAAGCCCTGTAATTGCTCAGGGTACAAGTTATTGTTTTAAAATGATGGGGAGGTTTCTATTAAAGATTGGTCCAATATTACAAAATATTGTGTATAACAAGTTCTCTGCGTCAGGCAGTGGTTCTCAACCCAGTCCTCAAGGCACATACCCAGTCCAAGATGTAGGTATTTCTTAATTGTGTTCCAATGTGAATACTGACAAAACCTGGATTGTTAATGTTAGTGCTTTGTATTAAGAATCACTGGTGTGGGGTCAGATTGGAAGTTTGCGCTAATGCTCTTTTAAACCTAAATGTGGAAAGTATCAATTTTCTAAAGGAAATTCAACATTCATATTTATATCTATAGTGAATTGAAAATGGTTTTAAAACGTAGGCTAAGGAGATTGGTGGCTCTGGTGGCTCTAATCTTCATGTGGTAAGTTTTAGGACGTGTACTTAGGATCATGCTGGCCTGCATAGTAGGGATGTGCATGGGCAAAATATTTGTTTGGGTTCGGCATTCCGAAATTCGGACTTCGGCACTTCGGCATTTTGGTCCGGCACTTCCGAAATTCGGAATTTCGGCACTTCGGGACCTCAGCATTTTGGTTCAGCACTTTGGAACTTCGCTCTTCAGGACTGAGGGTAAGTGTAGGGTTAGGGTAGGGTTAGGGTATTTGACGAAATGCCTTTTGTCACTGGATTTTTAGGTGACAAGTTGCCCTTTGCCCCTGGCTGTTGGAGGAGCCTGAGTGCCAGCCTCCTGCCTCGTGACTACGGCCCTGGGTTGTATGGCACTTTACAAACATTATTTGGGCTAATGGATTAATATTGTGCTGCTGCTGGTCCTTTAAGAACTGCATTGTGGTTTATGGACTTGTATTGGACCATGCTGGCCCTTTAAGAACCGTCTGGGGATATGTTGAGACTTTGTGTGACAATGCCCCTTTAAAACTATGTCCCCAGACCTTTCAAATACTTTGTCTATGGCTTTCTCCCACTTGGTTCAGTAAATGGAGCTTACTGAACCAAGTACCACACAGGCGGACCACCCAGAATTGGAAGTGTGCAGGCAATTTACCTCCCATGCTGGGAGCCTGCTGTAGGTAAATTGCCGAACGCTGGAGGGGCCGCCATTCGACAAACGAACACGTGGCGGTGGCCATCTTTGATTCAGTTGAAGTTTTACCTTCTCCAAACTTTAATGCATTCGACAGTTCGAACGCCATTCAACAGTTCATTCGACAGTTCGACAATTCGAATGGTTGTCGTTCGTCTGTTTGAACTGACTTCAACATGGGAAATAGACCGACCGCACAGCCTGATTCTCTGGAACTGTTTTGGGCATGAAAATGTGCTTTCGGTCGGTCATAAAGGACTCCCAGCTAACTTTTTATCTACTGGGGGATTTGTATGATTTATGGGTATGTTTATATTTAAACTATGCTGATTCTGAATATGTATGTTTTATGTGAATATGATGCATATTTTTAAAGTTACAGTATATGTGTAAAAAGTGTATTTTTCCTGCCTGTGATAAATTACATTAACCCATTGTGTTCAGTAATTATATCACAGGCAGAGGGGAGCGACTGTATGTTGGGGCTGGGTGTGTTTTTTTTTACGGTTTTCCTGTAAATGATTGGTTGTACTGTGTCCCACCCTGTGGGATGTCCCCTTGCATGGGGACTTGCATAAAAGCCAGTGTGTGGTCA